GACAGAAATAAAGTTGAATTGGTGCAAAAGCATAAACTTATTACGAGGCACCTCTTCAACAAAACAAAACGAAACAGAGCATCACCGAAATAAACACACACGCACACGCACACGCACACACACACACACACACACACACACACACACACACACACACACACACACACACACACACACACACACCAGGTCCCACGCGCAACCCCGCCGCCCCGACAGACCTTCCGATCACTACAGCTGGACCACACGCGCTCCGCCAGCCTGCGGCCTGCCCCCTAACTTTGTACGGCTTTGTAGTCTGGCCAGACCGGGACGGTGCCGTTCCATGGCATATGCCGTCCCGGCCCCGGGGAGATCTGGTGGATACCTCCCCGGGCCGAGGAGATCTGGTGGATACCTCCCCGGCGCTCCAGACGGGCCGCGAGCCCCCGCCCGCACCCCCGGAAAATCATCTTTCCCGGGGGTGCCCCCTAACCACCGCCCGGGCAAGGGGAGCGCCGACCCGACCCGGCCGGCGCGGCGCCCCGCCCGCCCGGGCGGGGCGCCGGCCGACCGGTCCGGCCGACCGGTCCCTTTCGAGTGGGACCGGTACCCAGGTTGGCCCGGATGGGTCATAGGGGCGGGGGCCCAATGCTTGGCAACTCAGGGTTTCGCCTGCGATTGGCGTAAGCCTATGCATAGTTCCTGATCTATGTACTAGGTCTTGTCTGACTTAGCGTTATGGAGATATTTGGTAAAATCTTCACGCAATGATCAGGGTACGACGAGACGCAATGATAGTCCTAGCTTCTAACGCTCCGTGGAGCCTTAGAGCCTGAAGCTGGGATCTGATTAACGACTTCAAGATTCTGTTGGGCTTGACCTTCAATGTGTTTGTGAGCATACGAGTATCTGCATATTATATAGCCGTGATTTGTAGCTGTAGTTAGGTCGATGTTTTTAACGTGTGTTAAGTTTCTTGTTCCAGATCTTTAAATTTGGTTTTAATTTGTGTTCAGTTTTAAGTTACAATACTCGAATGTAATAGAATGGTCGGGTTGCAATTTCTATGAAAGTAATAAATAAACGATGTTCGAACTTTTATAGTTTAGGAATTTATTAAAACCCGACTTTCAAACTCTGCAGAGTGAAAAGTAGGAAGTTCTCATCTACATAGAGATAGATATCGCCCCGCGGGTTCCAGCAGCCTTTGATTCTGGTAGTCGAGAACATGTCTCAGTTGGGACGATTGTTGTCGACATTGCGCCACTGCCGCGGCCACCCCAGACGACTGCTGTATGTGACAGGCACTAGGCATAGTCGTCCGCATAGCGCGGACGCAGGCCCCCAGCGTCACCTCAGCCGCCCTGAATCCCGGTTGGGTAGGCCCGCGACTGTGGTCTGCGGAGATATTTATTTAATCTTGCTATCCGGTCGTGCGCGTGATTGGCGTAAGCCTATGCATAGTTCCTGATCTATGTACTAGGTCTTGTCTGGCTTAGCGTTATGGAGATATTTGGTAAAATCTTCAGGGGCTGCATGAGGGTGAGTTAAGGTCAAGGTTTCAGGTGGAGCCATCAGCCAAATTGCATCGCCAAATTTCGAAACGATAATGCCACAGAGCACGTAGTTAGGTACTTGTTACCATGTGTGACGTGTGCGATCAATATCGTAAAGCATTACGCAAAGTCTTTGTGAGAACTGTGCACCAGATCGCAAAGCTTGCACAGTATCGCGTCTGTTAGACAAAGAAGTGGGCACGAATACCGGTTTATTCACATATAGCATTTACGTATAGCGCCTCGTGTCACCCAGTCCGGCCAATGCGGCGCCACCTGTCACCCAGTCCGGCCAATGCGGCGCCACCTGTCACCAGTGGCGCAGCCAGAACTCTGGCGACGGGGGTGAGAGACGTTCGCGATGGGCCCCCCAGCAAAGTGGGCCCCCCTCAACCTAATGGGGGCCCCTTACCAACAACGAAAGGTCAGATCATTGTCCTGATCAAAACCAACCAAATCAGGGAAAAGGACAAATATCTCTTGATCTGAAGAGGCACGTAAAAAACAACAGCATATTTACAGAAACACGACCATTCTGCCCATATTTGATGGACAGCGTGCAATTGATGGCCAGCGGCCACTCAAATGGTCGGGCTAGGTCAAAGAGCTTTTAAAAAAGCTAAACGTTAGTTTTTCGATCATTACTTTTGATATACCTAGGAGACGAGGTCGAGTAATGAAATTGTCTTGAAGGTGTTAATCATCCATACGGATCAGTTGATAACCATCATGAACTTCTCAAGTAAGGGCATGACCTTGATCTGCGGTCACATTTTGAAGTTGAACTTTTTACGAGAGAATGATGACATAGTAAATGTCTCATAATTTTTCTTACCAAAGTTCTTGCAAAAGTTCTTAGCAAAACTATTTTGGTAAAATGCGACTATTTAGATGGTTTTGCCCTCTGCTCTGTTGCCAAACCATTGACATGAGGCATTGAGATCAAATCTTAAAAGCGAAACCGTTTTGAAAGGCCTATCGAATGAGTTGTTCCGCGAAGCTCTAGCTCTTTGGTTCACGAGTGATACGTTTATTTGTGAAAATATAAAAAGAAGAATTTTTCGTGGTAATCTTGTCTTTGTGTTTATCATAATTTTATCATAATTTCGTCTTCAATGACCTCAGCGATGACCTAATCCAAAAATGACCTTTACGTTTCTGAAGCATCCTACAGCTATCTGTTGCTTTTCTCGTCTTTCTAGCCTTCTTAAATTATGATCGGGTTTGGCCGATACGCCCCCCATGGCTGATTGCACGCGTTAGAGCTATCGAACCCACTTTCAGCACGCTATAGCTTTATATGTTCTGGAGTGTAGAAATAGGCGAAACTTTTCCTTCGAGGAACATGATGACGAGGGCTTTGGTCTGAACTACAACATGACTGAAATAATTTCTCCATGATTTTCGACGCTCTTAAGAAACCCGCCTACCGCCGCACTTGTCGCTACGTGACCCTGGAGTCAGGTTAGAAGGGAATATTCAAACCCCTCTCAGGGGCGTAAAACTCAAAAGCCTGGGGCCCTGCTCTGCGGGGCCCGGTCGAGCTAGGCTAGAGCCAGTTCGGGATGTTTACAAGCCCACGTAAAGCCCTCAAGAATCTGCATAGAGCACAGGCCTTCCAAGACTTGGGGTTTAGATATCAAACATCGACATGGTCTTTTGACTTTTGAGACCTGCGTGGTGGCTATCAGAGGTCGGTGGGCCCCTCAAAAGCCGGTGCAGGAGCCTCAGGTGTCAGTTTGGAGTCTTCATGAACCGGTGTGGAGTCCTGATGAATACCTAGGCGTCAAACCCCTACATAGACGTCAGGGTGGGGCCGGGCGGTGAGGCAGGCACAGGCCTGAAGAGAAGAGGAATTTTCAGATGTCGGCTTGGCATCTTAAGGGCCCTGCATGGCTTTCTCAGAGGCTGACATGTCGTACTGCGGGACCTCCACGAGCCTCAAAAACCTCTATGGGCCCCCTCACGCTTGGGGTAGGCTTCCTGAAGCATAAAATCTCTGAGTCTTGAGATGGGCCCATTAGACATGAACAGGGCCATCAATATACATGTGGTGAGTTGGCCTATATCAAACATGATATCGGCTCAATCAGGATTGGGATAGGCCCTCTCAGACCCAGACCAGGCACGGAGTACGGACCCTCCCACACATAGGATGATCCTTTCATTCCTGGGATGAATCTTCTCAGGCCTGAACTGGGCCCTCTCAGACCTGAAATGGGTCCCTCTCAGGCCTGAAGTAGATCCTCTCAGGCCTCAAATAGGTCCTCTAGGGCCTGAAATGGGCCCTCTCAGGCCTGACATTAGCCCTCTCAGACCTGAAATGGGCCCCTCTCAGGCCTCAAATAGGACCTCAAGGGCCTGAAATGGGCCCTCTCAGGCCTGACATTAGCCCTCTCAGACCTGAAATGGGCCCTCTCAGACCTGAAATGGGCCCCCTCAGCCCGGAAATGGTCCCTATCATGTCGAAAAAAGGCCCCTCAAACCGTAACTGGGCCCACTCAGGTCTGAAATAGTGCCTCTTAAGCCTGAAATGGGCCCCTCTCAGGCCTCAAACGGGCCCTCTCTGGCCTCAAACAGGCCCTCTAGGACATGAAATGGGCCCTCTCAAGCTTGAAATGGGCCCCCTCAGGCCTGAAATGGGCCCCTCTCAGGCCTGAAATGGACCCAATCAGGCCTCAAACATGCCCTCTAGGGCCTGAAATGGACCCCTTCAGGCCTGAAATGGGCCCTCACAGGCATCAAATGGGCCCTCTCAAGTCTCAGGCCTGGAATGGGCCCCTCTCAAGCCTCAAACAGGCCCTCTAGGGCCTGAAATGGGCCCTCTCAAGCTTCAACTGGGCCCCTTCAGGCCTGAAATGGGCCCTCACAGACCTGAAATGGGCCCTCTCAGGCCTGAAATGGGCCCTCTCAGGCCTGAAATGGCCCTCTCAGGCCTGAAATGGCCCTCTCATGCCATGGAACGGGCCCTCCTAGGCCTTGAATTAGTTCAATCGGGCCTTGGATGTACCTCCTGAAACATAATATGGGACTATGAATCCTAAAGGGGGGCTATCAGGCCTGAAAACTGTTTTTCAGTCCTATGACGGACCTTGACATATAGTGATAAAAAAATGTCAGGCTGCATAACGTTACAGTTCGAATCGACGGTGGGCCCCTAGGATAAGAGACGGGGGTGAGATCTCACCCCTTTCACCCCCCCTGGCTGCGCCACTGCCTGTCACCCAGTCCGGCCAATGTGGCGCCACCTGTCACCCATCCCGGCCAATGCGGCGCCACCTGTCACCCAGTCCGGCCAATGCGGCGCCACCTGTCACCCAGCCCGGCCAATGCGGCGCCACTTATTATCCAACTGAACATGTGGAGAGTAGTGCCAAATGCCTATGCTTAGGGCTGAAAATGCAACCCAGCAATCCATTAGGTGTACGTGACTCGCCCTTATCAGCAACCAGCGTAAAATATATCAATGCAACACAGCTTTATTCGGCTACTCGAGGACATGAATAAATTTTTGGTCAATTAAAAGTGACGCCATCTATCTGAGCCTACCTAGTACAACGCCATCTATAGGAGACTGTGTCAGAGGTCGCCACTGGGATGCTCTCAGCCGATCTTTAGGTATCAGTCCGACGGTCTGTCCGTCTGCCTGTCTGTCTGTCTGTCTGTCTGTCTGTCGGTCGGTCGGTCGGTCGGTCGGTCGGTCGGTCGGCCCGTCTGTCTGTCTGTCCGTCTGTCGGTTGGTCGGTCGGCCGCTCTGTCTGTCCGTCTGTCTGTCTGTCTGTCTGTCTGTCTGTCTGTCTGTCTGTCCGTTTGTCGGCCCGTCTGTCTGTCCGTCTGTCGGTTGGTCGGTCGGCCCGTCTGTCCGTTTGTCGGTCGGTCGGTCGGTCGGTCGGTCGGTCGGTCGGTCGGTCGGTCGGTCGGTTGGTCTGTCGGTCGGTCTGTCGGTCGGTCGGTCGGTCGGTCGGTCGGTCGGTCGGTCGGTCTGTCGGTCGGTCGGTCGGTCGGTCGGTCGGGCTCAGCCGACCACCGCCGATCAGAGCCCGCTCGGCCGGACGGCGGTCACTGCGCGCGGTGCGCTCGGAGATCCGGTCACTGTGCGCGCGGTGCGCTCGGAGATCCGGTCACTGTGCGCGCGGTGCGCTCGGAGATCCGGTCACTGTGCGCGCGGTGCGCTCGGAGAATCCGGCAGCCTGGCGCCGCAGCTGTGCAGCCGACAGGTTCAGCCGATCTGCCTGCTGTCCGGCCCGAGTCAGCTGGCGCTCCACCACATTGCCTGCGGACCAGCCGGTTCAGTCACCAGTGGCGGATCCAGGAAAACTCCAAAGGGGGCCATGAATCGAAGTGGTGCCCCTACCTTTACCCAAAATTAAAAACTCAACGGATTTCGGCCACTTCATTTTGATGGTGCCCTATTTTCAGATTTTTATCATTTTTTATTTTTGTGTGTGTTGCCCCTGGTGGGCATGTGGTGCCCCTGACAGGCCCATGGTGCCCCTGCGAGGCCGGTGACGCCCCTTCTAGGCCGGTAGTGCCCCTGGCAGGCCTGTGATACCCCTGCTAGGCCGCCGGTGTCCCTGGGCCCTGACAGGACTGTGGTGCCATTGACAAGCCTGAAGTGTCCCCGACAGGCACGTGGTGCCCCTGACGGGTCCAAGGTGCCCCTGCGAGGCCAGTGGTGCCCCTGACAGGCCTGTGGTGCCCTTGACAGGCCTGTGGTGCCCCTGACGGGCCCAAGGTGCCCCTGCGAGGCCAGTGGTGCCCCTGACAGGCCTGTAGTGCCCCTGCTAGGTCTTTGGTGCCCCCTGATAGGCCTGTGGTGCCTCTGGAAGGTCTGTGGTGCCCCTGGGCCCTGACAGGACTGTGGTGCCACTGACAAGCCTGAAGTGTCCCCGACAGGCACGTGGTGCCCCTGACGGGCTCAAGGTGCCTCTGCGAGGCCTGTGGTGCCCCTGGCAGGCCTGTGGTGCCCCTGCTAGGTCTTTGGTGCCCCTGGCATTTACATATGTTGCTCCTGGAAGGACTGTGGTGCCCCTGTGCCCTGACAAGCCTGAGGTGCCCCTGACGGGCCCGTGGTGCCCTTGCCAGGCCTGTGGTGTCCCTGACAGGCCTGTGGTGCCCCTGGTGGGCCTGTGGTGTCCTTGGTGGGCCTGTGGTGCCCTTGGTGGGCCTGTGGTGCCCCTGCCGTGATGGTGCCCCCCGGGAGCGAGTTTCCTAAGTGTGGAACTATTCATACCGTCGCCCGTTCGAGTGACGTCATCAGTTGGCGCTGCCGGCTATGTGCATGGATTGGCGGATCCTTAACTTGGCGAAGAGGCGGAGCCAGTTATCCTGCGTAAATATTTTGTCAGTCTTAATTTTAGCGAGTTCCCTAGTAAGAGAAAAAAAACAACTTGTTCTACGTGAATATATAACCGGTGTTATTTCAGTTGCGTTCGTGCATTCGCCTACCTTGGAAGCATATCTCCTACGAGGTGCTTGAGTTTTGACGGTGGGGTTTGTGCACTGCGTTTCGCTTCAGCATTGAGCAAATGTCTTCAGTTCAGTAGGTAGGTATTACGGCTGGTGATACTGCCTATCGGCGTTGAATGATGTTTGACACCAATAGGACATAAATTAGCAGGTAGTGCGGATTTATTATTAGATTTATTAGCGAGATTATTAGCAGATTTATTAGCGGATTTATTATCTATTTTATTAGCAGGTAGTGCGGATCTTTAGTGCGGATAGTGAGTAACGCCATCTGGACCGATGCTGGAGATGGTAGCGCCACCTGCCGCCACTTAACTGCTCGCTTCTTGTAACAGTGCCTGGCTGGTGCTGCTTGTTGATTGTTTTTGAAGCTAGTACCCTATGACGCATAATATAAGGTCACTTTGCCAAATTTGAGGAGCATGGACGAATTAATTTGTGAGACATTGACGCCTTAGTAATACATAATTGTTCCCAACACAAGCTATGTATTACATTTTAATGTTATTGCTCAACTCATTAGCGTCGCCACGGGGGGGCAAGCGGGGCAGCTTGCCCCCCCCCAACCTCGGACCGGGCACCCCCTGAGATCGATGCAGATCCGATGTAATTTTTGAGTCGGGAAAAGTTGGGGGTACCTTTCTGAGAATGCCTGTGAGGTCAGACTCGGTTGGAGCGTGCAGTTCAAACCAGAGTCGGAGTCGCAGTCGCCAAAATCTTCAAGTGAAGACTCCGACTCCAGACTCGAAATATCAATGCTGTGATTCATTCCCTGTTCCTAGTTGGTTCGATATCACATTTTAGAGCTGAAGTTTTGGAGTGCTGACACATAATTTTCGCTGACATAATTTTTGCTGACACATAAAATAATAAAGCGTGATACGAGATCTTCGGGGCCTTTCTCAACTCTCGTCAAATGTCTGCGACAGGCTCAAGTACCGTTCAAGTGCCGCGGGGCTCATGAGCGAGCTTGCTTTTCACCTTCACACAGGCTCCTAAGGAGCTCCACTGAGCTCTAAGAAGCTTTCAGTGGGCCCAAACCGACCTCTGAGAGTCCCACTGGTGTCCTTAGGGATTCGAGACACAGACCCCTATGGTTCACACTGTTATCCGAGGGCTCCAGGATTACCCTGGACCTAGTCTCTTAGCGCCCGCAACTCACACTGGCATCTGAGGGCCCCACATTGGGTTCGGAAAGCCCTAAAGCACCACATACACGTAAATATTTGGGGTGACCCACGCCGATCTCCGGGATTCTAATCAGGCCTCTGAGAGTCCACACTGACCCTGAGTGGCCTGAAATGGCCTGTATGTCCCAAGCCTATGCCTGTAAGTGATCCGTTGCGGCTATGCCGCGCGTAACTTTTAGTTACGTTAAACATTTTTTTTTGTACGCGTTCGCGGCGTTTCCCTTCACACGAAAAACGAGAAACTTTTTGTTCTCACTCGAGTGAACAAAACACTTCATCTCACTGGAGCAAAGATGAATCACTTCCGATTCACACTTCCGACATTCACGCTCCGCCGAATGCCCAACTTAGCTACTATCGGCGGCTGGGTAAGCCCTATGCATTTCACGTAATACCTCTGTATGCATGCGTGAATGGAGGTTTTAGCAGGGTGATCCAATTAAATGGAGCGTTTTTTTCACCTTTTTCTGGGTGATGATCATGAGCGACGAACGTCTGCACAGGAGCCCTCTGCAGTGCGTCGGCAATTGCAGCTTCTGTTATTCTACCGGCCGCTTTTTCAGAAATTTTAAAATTTAGATTTTTTTCTGCAAAAATTACATATCATTGCTAGAAGGAAAACTTTGTCACCATCGGATTCCTCGCACCATTGCGCGTCAAATAATATGTAAAACGAGTGAGAAACGACTGGGGAAAGGCAAGATTTGACACAAAAGTTGATTTTGCCCCCCAACCGAAAATCTCTGGCGACGCCTATGGCTCAACTTCACATGATAACACCAGGGGCGCTAGTGCCGCGCGCCTATAATCGTGCAGCAATTGGTCGGCCGACTGTGAGCCATGACGTCACAGCCTGTAACGTCATCTCGGCGAAGCTTACGCCAATCATAGACCTCAGGTATGGGCAGTTCCACACTTAGGAAACTCGCCCCCCGGGAGGCCCAAGGGGGGGGGCGGGCATGGCCCCCATGCCCCCCTGGATCCGTCACTGTCAGTCACTGGGTCCGGCACTGACACTGGCTCACCGGGTCAGTCACTGGGTCGGTCACTGGATCGGGCACTGGCACCGGCTCCCTGGTTCAGTCACTGGGTCTGTCACTGGTATTGGCTTCCTGGTTCAGTCACTGGGTCCGTCACTAGCACTGGCTCCCTAGTCCAGTCACTGGGTCGGGCACTGGCACCGGCTCACCGGGTCAGTCACGGGGTCCGTCACTGGCACCGGCTCACTGGTTCAGTCACTGGGTCTGTCACTGGCACCGGCTCACTGGTTCAGTCACTGGGTCTGTCACTGGTATTGGCTTCCTGGTTCAGTCACTGGGTCTGTCACTGGCACCGGCTCCCTGGTTCAGTCACTGGGTCTGTCACTGGTATTGGCTTCCTGGTTCAGTCACTGGGTCCGTCACTGGCACCGGCTCACCGGGTCAGTCACTGGGTCTGTCACTGGTATTGGCTCACTGGCTCAGTCACTGGGTCTGTCACTGGTATTGGCTTCCTGGTTCAGTCACTGGGTCCGTCACTGGCACCGGCTCACCGGGTCAGTCACCGGGTCTGTCACTGGCACCGGCTCACCGGGTCAGTCACTGAGTGTGTAACAAGGCGGCAGCTACTGAGTCAGGGTTGGTTATTGGCGCCGGGCGCGTGGCACGGTGCTGGCTCACCGATGTTGGCGCGCGGCCCGGCCGGACCGACCTCGATGGTGCCGATGTGCTGCTGCCGGTCGGTCAGACCGCCGCGCACAGAGATGGCCGACACCTGCGCCTGCCACAGAGACAGAGAGGTCAGCAGTAGCACACGCCGAGCACGCCTCGATCAGCGACGCCAAAACAGCGATATATTGTCAGAATCACTACTCAGCATCACTACTCCTCACTAAACCACCGCTGCCTCATCTGAGCCAGATCCACCCCGTCTCCCGTGTATCCCCTTCCCTGGTCTCTCCCTTGTCTCCCGTGTATCCCCCTTCCCTGGTCTCTCCCTTGTCTCCCGTGTATCCCCCTCCCTGGTCTCTCCCTTGTCTCCCGTGTATCCCCCTTCCCTGGTCTCTCCCTTGTCTCCCGTGTATCCCCCTTCCCTGGTCTATCCCCCGTCTCACGTGTATCCCCCTTCCCTGGTCTCTCCCTTGTCTCCCGTGTATCCCCCTTCCCTGGTCTCTCCCTTGTCTCCCGTGTATCCCCCTCCCTGGTCTCTCCCTTGTCTCCCGTGTATCCCCCTCCCTGGTCTCTCCCTTGTCTCCCGTGTATCCCCCTCCCTGGTCTCTCCCTTGTCTCCCGTGTATCCCCCTTCCCTGGTCTCTCCCTTGTCTCCCGTGTATCCCCCTTCCCTGGTCTCTCCCTTGTCTCCCGTGTATTCCCCTTCCCTGGTCTCTCCCTTGTCTCCCGTGTATCCCCCTTCCCTGGTCTCTCCCTTGTCTCCCGTGTATCCCCCTTCCCTGGTCTCTCCCTTGTCTCCCGTGTATCCCCCTCCCTGGTCTCTCCCTTGTCTCCCGTGTATCCCCCTTCCCTGGTCTCTCCCTTGTCTCCCGTGTATCCCCCTCCCTGGTCTCTCCCTTGTCTCCCGTGTATCCCCCTCCCTGGTCTCTCCCTTGTCTCCCGTGTATCCCCCCTTCCCTGGTCTCTCCCTTGTCTCCCGTGTATCCCCCTTCCCTGGTCTCTCCCTTGTCTCCCGTGTATCCCCCGCCCTGGTCTCTCCCTTGTCTCCCGTGTATCCCCCTTCCCTGGTCTCTCCCTTGTCTATCCTTGTCTCCGTGATCCCCGTCTCCCTGTTTATTCTCTCTCCCCCTGATGCCCCTCTTCCCTAGTCTCTCCCCTGTCTCCCCTGGTCTCTCCGCTGTCTCCCGTGATGCCCGTCTCTGCCGCGTCCCCGGGGAGCCGCTGGCCACCCCTGACATCATCTCTCTCTCTCTCTCTCTCTCTCTCTCTCTCTCTCTCTCTCTCTCTCTCTCTCTCTCTCTCTCTCTCTCTCTCTCTCTCTCTCTCTCTCTCTCTCTCTCTCTCTCTCTCTCTCTCTCTCTCTCTCTCTCTCTCTCTCTCTCTCTCTCTCTCTCTCTCTCTCTCTCTCTCTCTCTCTCTCTCTCTCTCTCTCTCTCTCTCTCTCTCTCTCTCTCTCTCTCTCTCTCTCTCTCTCTCTCTCTCTCTCTCTCTCCATCTCTCACCTGTGTGGCCGCCACCCGGCTGGGCTGGCCGGCCCGGCCGGACGGCTCCGTGCTCAGAGTGGAAGCCTGAGACGTCCCCAGCGCCGCCTGGCGGGCAAACAGACAACTACAGGACGGCCGACTGGCGGGCTGACAGACAACTACAGGATGGCCGCCTGGCGGGCAGACAGACAACTACAGGATGATCGCCTGGCGGGCAAACAAACAACTACAGGATGGCCGCCTGGGGGGGCAAACAAACAACTACTGGCCGCCTGGCGGGCAAACAAACAGCTACAGGATGGCCGCCTGGCGGGCAGACAGACAACTATAGGACGGCGTACTGAAAGTTTCGCATTTCTATCCCTATGTGTGCCTGGCGATACCCGAGTACCTACAACCAGGCACATAGCCAATGGAGGGACGACATGGTCAGCCGACTCTCCCTGGAGATGGACCACTTTTATTTATTTTTATTATTTTTTTTTTTTTGTAAATGAAAATGTGGTCCCCTCCCGAAAAATAGTGGGCCGAATCCAGGGACTTTTCGGGTTTTGGAGGGGGTATACCCTGGGCTCCGGCAAACTACAACCCCAATGAAAAACAAAAAGTTCCACCTCTGGTTGCGGGAGCTGCCAATGAGTACATGAATCGAAATACAGCCACGTGTCATGAAACAACGGGGGTCATAATGCGATGCTGACTACAAAATGCGAGTACAGACAGCAGGCATGTTCATGCGTACGCCCCTACCTAATGAGGGCTAGACCTAGACCATACAACACTAACGCGAACCCGCTGCCCTGGCCACTCGTGCCGAACGCCTCAGCGGAGGGGTGGTCATCTGTGACGATGGTGAGGGCGTCGGCGGAGCGTGCTCTCGCAGAGCAGGTCTGTCGGATGCCTCCAGAGCCAAGGTCATCCTGTAGGGGTTTATAGCAGCCGGCAGCTGCTGCCACCTAGCGGCACGGCCCGGAACTTGTCGGTGCGCGCCGGCAGGGTATCGCGCCGGCGCGACCGGCGCGGCAGTCGGCTTGCGGACCGCGAGCCGGAAGGACAGGGAGGGGGGGTGTCGACGGATGTGTAAATAGTGTTGTGTAAAAGTGAAAATACAGAAGAAACGTTACAAATTGGTGCGGTCGGTAGGACGCCACGACCGAAAAACCGGAGCTGGTGAGCCAGAATCACGGTAAGGTAGCTGCGACCGGCATTTTGATCGATGTTTTCGGCGGAATAGGATATCGTATAGTGTAAATATTACGATCGGTTATTATCAGTTTGAGTGAGAGATGGATCCCAGGTTGATTTTTATGTCAAAGGCTAAACCCTTTACCGGTGCAAATGGGCAGGAATGGCGCCGCTGGCTGACCCGTTTCGAGGCACAAACTGTTACCTGGTCTGCCGCGGAACGTCTGCAGTGTTCATAGACCCGGGAACAGGGGAGGGGGGTGCAGCAGCGGCGCTTGCCCCCCCCCCCCCAACTTGGGATCCGAGGGGGCGGCGCCCCCTCAACATTGAGGCAGCGAGAAAAGGTCTTTCCTCCCTTTTCCGGACTTCTTTCCTTCTTGTTTCCTTTATACCTACATCTAAACATCAACACACGGCATTTTTCTTGCCATCTGAATGGTTTCTGCTGATACAGTATCGATTTGACAACATCTGCTATTGTCATCCCGCTTTGATTTGGGCCTGACCTTGGCCATAAGCTTGGCAGGCCAGTTTTATACTGGACCATTTTGAGTCAACTTTGAGAAATGCATAACGTACAACGGTGGTAAAATCGTTGCTATAGTTATAACACAGTTTACCCGCTCCGGGTGTGAGGGCTAGGGGTGTGGGGCAATGAGTGCACTGTCGTGGCGCCCTCTGTATGGGATGGGATGCATGGGATACATTAGAGGGCCGGTATGGGATTAAAGCTCAGCGACACTAAGGGCTTGTGGTGCCTTCGGTTATCGGCAGCACCCTCAGAATCACCGGCGTAGGGCCCTCAGAGCCGCCGGTAAGGGGCCTTTAGAGGCACCGGTGTGGGGCCTTCATGCAGGTGCCGGTGTGGGCGCTCAGAGGTGCTAGTGTGATTCTCTCAGAGGCGCCGATGAGGGTCCTTACAGGCGTTGCTGTGGGCCCTCATAGACGCTGGTGTGGAGCCGTTACAGACGGGCATGGGGGCTTTAGAGCTGCTGACGCGAACTCTCTACATTCTACAAGGCGGCAGGGGGTCTCAGTGACCGGCAAGGGTTCCTTAGGCCGGCAGAAGAAGTCCTGTGGGGTCCTTAGAGACCGGCATGGTACTGTCAGACGCCGGTGGGGCCCTCAGACTCACCGGTGTGGGACCCTCAAAAGTCACCAGTGGGTGGCCTTCAGATGCACAGGTGTTGGTTGGGTCCTCAGAGCCGCCGATACAGGGCTTAATTTTAATAGGCACTGGTGTAGGCACTCAGAGTTGGGGGTGTGAAACCCTCAGAGACACCCACTGGCGGTCGCAGCCGTTAGCTAAAGGGGGGGGGGCAAAGTGAAACCCGCGGAACATAACATTTATCCGTCAACCGGGGGGAGGGGATCAGCTAAGTTTTCAAGTGTGTAGCAAAGTCGACGCCACGAAGTGCCGCGCAGTTGGCATTTCTTATGTTACATCCATCTCATTCTTGCGAGACTTACTTTCAAAATGTTGCTGTCGTTGACTTTAAATTGTCCTTGATGATCATTCTGTCATTTTGAAAGTTTAGGGTCACATCAAATTATGATAGCCTTAGCATATTGTGATGCAATTTTATAACCTACCGAAATAAAGCATCCTACGAAAAAGGAAAATATTGAATATAAAGGAAATATAACAGCCTTTGAAAAAAAAACAATTTTTGCCAGAATGATCAAAATTTTATTTCCAATCGCATGGCGTTTAAAAAGAAAATTATCTCTTGCGTGACCGATTTTTTTCAATTTCTTTGTAACTAAAACTGTCTCAAATAGCCCCACCCTATGGGGCTATTTGAGACAGTCTTAAACTAAAAAAAAAATATCCCTAAACATTATTGCTAGCTGAGCCAAAATGCACCTATATGAAAAAGCTCACAAAGAACTACATCTATATTACTATTTGAGGAGGGTGCGTCTGTCCGTTACCGAGGTCCCGACTTGGTCGTGCTTTGCGTGGACTACAGGCCAGACCGTTGCACCTAGCCCGGTGAAATTTGCACAACTTATAGATCAAGGATGCGCGACGTGCCTTTGAGGGGTCTCAGCTCGATCGGATTGGTAGGGAGCGCGTGGACTACAGGCCAGACCGTTGCACCTAGCCCGGTGAAATTTGCACAACTTATAGATCAAGGATGCGCGACGTGCCTTTGAGGGGTCTCAGCTCGATCGGATTGGTAGGGAGCGCGTGGCGCGTGCTCAAAAAGTGCAAATTCGCGCCATAGACTTTACATGTATAAATCGGCGTGCGAAATCGGGCGAAAACGGTTAATTTTGGCCGACACGGGTCCAGTTCCCGTGCAATATCTTGGTGACCAGGGGTACGACCGGCACGGGGAAAACAACATCGTGTACAGAATTGAACGGGCTATTGAATGGTGTGCAATGCAGAGGATAGCACGCCCCACGTGCACCGGGGAGGGCACTTTTGTTGAAAAATTGCGGTTTTTGGCGGATTTTGGAATTGATTTTATTTTTAGGTGACCGTTAAACAGAGCGAGTTGGAACAACGCCTGTTGGCAAGAGAAATGTACCGCCTCTCATATAAAAATTGTGAATAGCTAATTGATCGACGCCAAGGTGGTACAAATTGCTAGAGAAAATGGTGTTTGTCGATGATGTGCCACTTTATTAGTTACACGGGTTTTGCTGCATAACCTGATACGTTTGGCAATTGAAAATGGCACCGTTGGAAAGAGCATTCAATTCTGTTCAAGATTCACTCTTCATGTTTGCATGATGAGCAACAGTATTCTTAAAAATGTAAATGTTCCAAACCATTACATTGTCATTTTTAGCGAAATTCAGCGATGGCCCTCAAAAGACTTCACGCCAGTTTTCGAATCATTCTTAAGTAGAACGCATGATAATACGACACGGGCACCTCGATGCGATGTATCTTTTTGTTTTATTACAAAATGCTTGGCCGTCAAAAAGCAATCGAACGAAATGGATACCAACCAAACCGACACAGACCAACCCAATACCCACGGGTCAAAAATAACCCTTCTTCGCGTTGCGGAGCACGCGGGTAACCCTAGTTTTTGCTATTTACATGCTATAAGAAATATGAACCGTCTTAATGGGAGAGACCAAAAACTTTAACCCGGCAGGCGGTGGGCCTACCAGCCACCTTCCGCGCGGTGGGGGGGGGGGCATTTTTTGCCCCCCCCCCCCCGTATCTCCGAAACTACTGGACGGATCCGGAAAAATTCAAACGGCGTTCGATAGCCCTGTCAAATTTGTCGAAGAAACCAAATTTCATTGACCTCGGGGTCACCGGTGACGTCACAGGTCAGGTCAAAGATAAAATGTTTCACCGTTCACGGGGCTTCTAGGGAAAGCGCTATAACACCGATTAAAACGCATTTTGTCGAAAATCAGTGATGAGGCGTCAGTTGTCTAGTACATATGTTGCTATTAGAGGTCACCGGTCATACCAGGTCAGGTCACAGGTCAGGTCACCAAAGGTCACCAAGGGTCACCACATGAGCCCAACTTTACTAAGGTTATGTGATGCATGTTTTATGGCCAGTTTTTCATTTCCAACTCAATGGTGTTGGTTATAAGACCATCAGGTACGGTTTAGGTCACTTTCTGGTGGAGGTCAGGTCAAGGTCAGGTCAAAAAAGGTCAAATTTCAAAGTTGATATTTTTGCATAAAATGGGTATTGATTCGATGTAGCTCGTCACGGGGAGTCTAATGGTGGTCTTTGTTTTGCGCTACGAGGTCTAGAATCGCTAAAAATTGAGTTTGAAAATTTGACGTCATCAATTTTGAACAGTTTTTTTCGCTATAACTTGGCCAAAAAAGAGGTATCGATCTCAAATTTGGTATGCAGATAGAAGGCGGTAGGGACTATCACATATTTTCCGGTTTTTCCGAAATTCAAGAAACTTTTTTGGATTTTTTGGCTATTATATTCAAAAAATTTATTTTTTATTTTTGGGGGTCAAAATAAAAAAAAATCGAAAAAGCGAAATAGCAGTTTTGTAGTCCTTTTGATTCTACACCTTTTTATGTCTGAAACATTTTTCTGTATCTCTAAAGCTGTAGGCCTGACAGCTCTTCCCGCGAAACCTTTTTTTTGGGTCGAAAATGGCAAAAATGACGTCACTCTGACGTCATTAGCGGCCAACCTATCATAGCCTTTGGAAAAATTTTTGGTCACCATGTGCGCTAGCTGCTCCCGGGAGGGTAGGATGTTTCGATTTCATCCCATCGGCAGAAGCAATCGCTCTGCTTGACATTTTGAGGAAATATTTACTTACAAGAAGTATAAAACGCAAACAATAATATGGACAGCACCTAGAGTCTGGAATAAAATTATAACCCCTCTGTTTCCTCAAATTCAATCAATTCCTCCTTCCAAACATACAGTGAAAAAGATTGTAAAGGTGCGGTTAATTAGTCAATACTGAGTATTGATAGCCGCACTAATTACACATGATGTTGTATAGGAGCGTTTAATTAGTCAATACTTAGTATTGATAGCCGCACTAATTACACATGATGTACTCGACTCTAAATTTACCGTACCAAGTCTATGGTAATGAATATTTATATTAATATATGTATGCAACTGTATGTAATGTATGTAGTATGTATGTATGTGTGTGCATGTACATTGTAGGTACATGTATTGAGTGTATTGCCACCTCTTCCGTTGGACAGTCTGGGACCTTGGAGTGCCCAGCAACAAGCCTCGCTTCGTTGGGTGCTCTGGGGCCCCGGACTACCCTACTGCTGACATATGCCGAATGTGACCAGAGTTTGATGATGATTTGGCTATAAATGTGAATCCCCCTCAAATTAACCCCCCCCCCCTGCGGTTTTTCGCAGATATCTCAAAAACGACGGCACGGAGCGCCACCGTTTTTGGCACACCTGTTCGTGCATCTTTTTCGCACATATTGTAAAAAATTTCAGACCCAGGTCACCTTGGGTCAGGTCACCAGATCACGCCAAGTGACCTCACCTCAGAAAAAAATAAGAATGCTCGTCATAGCTACACCGACTAATTGATTGCCTTGAAACTTTCAGCGATTGATAAGAACAACATTATCTATAAAATGTATGTCTCGGAATTTTGATATCGGTGACCTAAGGTCAGGTCAATTTTGCGGCCTCTCCATTATAAATCAATGGGAGAAAATTGAAAACCGTCTTTTTTGCACGAAAGCTATTCTAGACACTCTCAAACATCGAGATGTAGGTAAAATTGACACACTGAACCGGAAAATGGCAGCTGTGACCCCTCGTTATGTCCCCGAGGTCATCTCAGGTCACGAACAGAATCTACCAGTTTTTCACTAATAACTTCTGATAAAGGCGTGCTAGAGCGTTGGAAACGCCTGAGATTTGTTCGGCTCGACGTTGCGGATCGACTGATATGCAACATGACCTTTACCGGTCAGGTCATGACCTTGACTTGAGGTCAAATTTTCAAGTTGACCTTTCAAGGTCAAATTGTAGTTCATTCGACGCGTATCGACGAGAGGAACACGATTCTGGCAAAAGTAATGTCATGGCTCTTTTGAGTCAAAAGTTATTGCCGAAAAAACGTTTTTCCTAAAAACGGCTATTTGAGTTTTTGCCCTCTGGAGGCTAAACTGTTGACCTGAGGTCAAATCTGAGAACATTACTCAGAAAGGTCTGTAAAAGGGCTATCGAATGCGCTTTCCTGCGGCGCTGTAGCTCTATTGGTTCCCGAGATAGCCGTCGGCAGTTTCCAAAATGTTGAAATATTCAACATTTTACCTTTGGTGACCTCTGGTGACCTGACCTTTGACCTGACTCAAAAAATGACCGAAGTGTTTTCGTCCCTATTTTGGACGTTTTTTTCGATTGACGCTTACGGCGTGTCGCTACGTGGCCCAGGAGCCGAGTTAGAAGGGGGGTGTTCAGACCCCCCGGCCCGGCGCGGAATCTCAGAGCACCGGCCCGGCGCGGGTTAATGTATCACGACAATAGCAGGGGACATAAGAATTATTCACCCTCTTTGATATTTACAATGTTTTGACACCAGAATATTTTTTGAAAGCAGCAAACATAAAACATGCCATCACCAGTCAACTGTTGCCGAACTGAGATTGGCAAATTTTTGTGCAGTTACCAAGGAAGGCTTCCGCTTTACGCCAATAACATTAATTTCCAGGTTTGATTATTTGTTTCGCCGCTAGAGGGGATGGGGCGTCTTTCCCACCTTGGGCATCTTAGCCCACTCTCTCCTACGTATAACCGTTGATAAGCGTATTGCTGCTTGCCTGTGACGATACTAGAGGCTCACCGGGGCAGTGGACACCAGCATGGTGACGTCATTGTGGCGTCATTATGACGTTGGTGACGTGATTATGACGTCATTATGACATCACTGGGGCTCACCTGCCACCAGGGCCCTGTTTCACCGCCCGACGCTGCGCGCGCTGCAGCGCGCTGGGAGCTGAGGCGTACCCCTGACGTCACTCGAATGACGTTGCGTGCGATCCGTTAGCTAATGATGAATCGCGTTTAGAACAGAGGTCCTAAAGGAAAAAGTACAAAGAGAAGAGGCTTGAGTGCGGATACTGCTAGCGTGCTGATGGCGCTAACGCCGCGGCGCGCCAGCGTCTTGCGATGACGTCATAGCTTAGCGTCAGAGTGAAGTTTGTTGATATTGCCATTGAAACCCAACGCGCTGACGCGCGCAACGCACTGCAGCGCTCTGCCGTGAAACACAACGGGGCGGGCACGCTGCCAGCGCATTTCTCGAGATGACATCACACTTGTGGTAGTGTTGGAGCAAGGGGCTTGTTGATGTCTCCATGGAAACCCAAATTGCCACGTGTGCTGGTGGCGTGCCGTTGAAACACCGCCCTGGTCACTGGTCAGTGGACACCAGCGTGGTGAGTGGTGACGTCATTGTGACGTCAATGTGACGACACTCACCTGGTCAGTGGACACCAGCGTGCTGCCCGAGTTGGCCTGAATCGGCAGCTCCCCAGCACGCTATAACAGAGGGAGAGCGACTCTTTACATACGGGATCTCACGATATACCTCAGCTCCCCAGCACGCTATAACAGAGGGAGAGCGGGATCTCACGATACACCAGATGGGGGAGGGGGGGGGGTGTGACTCGGTATAACCGGGAGGAAGTTTCTTACCCCCGGGGGTCCCAGTTACACATTCCTCCATATTTTGGCATCTCTCTCTCTCTCTCTCTCTCTCTCTCTCTCTCTCTCTCTCTCTCTCTCTCTCTCTCTCTCTCTCTCTCTCTCTCTCTCTCTCTCTCTCTCTCTCTCTCTCTCTCTCTCTCTCTCTCTCCTCTCCCTCTCCCTCCCCCTCGCTGGCTCTCCGGCCCGCCCCGTACCTCTGCCGTGGCGGTGACCTGGTTGGTGCCGAAGCTAAATCCCCCGCCGCCCTGGATTCCGGTACTGGCGGCCACCAGCTGGGCGCCGCCGCGGCCCGCCAGCACGTTGGTGACGCCCGTACCAACCGCTGCCCGAGGGCACAGAGGTCACAGGTCAGCGGCACAGAGGTCACAGGTCAGCGGCACAGAGGTCACAGGTCAGTGGGCACAGAGATCACAGGGCAGCGAGCACAGAGGTCACAGGGCGTAGAGGTCACAGGGCGCAGAGATCACAGGGCACACAGGTCACAGGACAACGGATACAGAGGTCACAGGGCAGAGGTGGGTGGTCAGAGGTCACAGGTCAGAGGGCAGAGGTCAGAGGTCAACGGACAAGTTAGAGGGCAGAGAGGTCAGCGAGGGACCCCTCGCGTTTTACAGGGTTGGGCAGATAAATTGGGACAAAATACATGTTTGCATTTAGAACGCCGTAGCTTAGAAATTTGTAAGCATAGGCATTTCAAATTTGGATCACATATTGTCACACCAATTTTACACATTTATCACCAAATATGGTCACCGTGGTCCACCTGCATCAGTCCTTATCGGTGCCTGGACTGGCCGCAAGCGCGGCGAGATCTTCCGTCTGAAATGGCTCGTAATTGTAGCCAACTGGCACTGCTGAGGCTCACCACAGTCACATGGGGATTGGGGACGTTCGTTAGACTCACCCGCAAAAACGCCCCAGCAACCAGAACTTGTGTGGTTGCTGTGTGTGGGCTGAGGTTTACTGAGGAAGGGGGCATTTCCCTTGGGTACAGTTTGCGGGATCCTCCGTTTCAGGAGATTTTGTATTTAATTATTTTTTTACTGTACCTATGCCGGGGAGCTGACTCCTCAAAGAGCATCACTCCATGCAGGATGTTGCCTTCTTCCATCTTGTTGATTCGAACTGCCGGAATAATGGTTAGGTCCCCTGTAATGATGAACCCCCTCCCGATTCCGTAAAATAAGGGGGCCCCAAGTGCCCGTCAGAAGTCATCGAGTGGAATGCTATCACCGATGTCTGCTGTATGCTTTTTGGAACTAAGATCACGTCTTCTGAGCTGGTTGCTATCTGCTCAACCCTGTAGAAGGCTAGAAGCCGGAGGTATCAGGAGTCAGGACTCAGGGGTCTGAGATGCCAGTGGCATCAGAGGTCAGAAGTCCACTTTCTCGGATGTCGCTGGTCCCAGAGGCCAGCGATCTCAGAGGTCAGCAGTCCCAGAGGTCAGCGATCTCAGATGTCGCTGGTCCCAGAGGTCAGCGATCTCAGAGGTCAGCAGTCCCAGAGGTCAGTGGTCCCAGATGTCGCTGGTCCCAGAGGTCAGTGGTCCCAGATGTCGTTGGTCCCAGAGGTATCAGAGTTCAGACCCATCAGAGGTCACTCGAGACTCAGAAGTTCAATGAGAGCAGTGGTGCAAGGTCACGTGACCAGCGCCGAGCCAGAGAGACGGGTTTCCTGTCAATATATCATATTTTAAAAGTTCCTGCCGACCAATGTACAGGCTCTACAGAGAGCTCGCCTATTATTTCTGTTGTGTCACTATTTCCCGGCAGGATTGATTGGAAGTTGGAGCTGCTCTGAGGTAACTTTGTGTTACGCAATTTTCATGCAATATTCACGACATTTTTAACTAGTGAGCTCGTGACTTAATGTTAACCCGCGCCCCGCTGGGGGGCAGAATCTCCCCCCCCCCTCTCCCGTTTTTCGTCAATAACGTCCAAAAGCGTTAACCCGCGCCCCGTAGGGGGGGGGGGAGGGCGAAACGGTCGCCTGTCCTTTTCCGTGGATATCTCCTAAACGGCTGCAGATACCGCCACCAAACTTTCAGAACCCCTCCGAGCATCAATTTTACACATTTTATCTTTATTATGTGACAAGCTATTGGCACAAACGTCATTTGACCTCAGTTGACCTCATTTGACCTGACCCTTAGATAAATACACCAAACAAAGAAAAACCAAGTGAAATAATGTTAACCCGCACCCGTCTGAAGGTGCTCTGAGATTCCGCGTCGGGCCGGGGGGGGGGGGTGTCTGAACACCCCCCTTCTAACTCGGCTCCTCGGGTCAGGTCAAAGGTCAGGTCACCAGAGGTCACCAAAGGTAAAATGTTGACTATTTCAACATTTTGGAAACTGCCAACGGCTATCTCGGGAACTGATAGAGCTACAGCGCCGCGGAAAAGCGCATTCGATAGCCTTTTGACAGAACTTTCTGAATAATGTTCTCAAATTTGACCTCAGGTCAACGGCTTAGCCACCAGAGGGCAAAAACTCCAAAAATAGCCGTTTTTACAAAAAAGTGTTTTTTCGGCAATAACTTTTGACTCAAAAGAGCCATGACATTACTTTTGCCAGCATCGTGTTCCTCTCGGCGAGACTCGTCGAATGAACTATACGTGGGGTGAATGAAAAGTTTTGAGCCAACATAGTTACAGGTGACGCAGATTAATGAATCTTTGCTCACATATTTTGCCACTATTTATGTGGGGACACCAAATTGTGAAGCCCTAGCACTTTTTCCTCACTTTTTAACCGCCTCGAATAATGTTATTTTGGGAAAGTGCTCCCGGTGCCAATGACGTCATCATTTTTTGTGAAGCATCATCCAGTCAGTTTTTTTTCTTTAGGTTTAGAAAGAAATAAACACCCTAAGGATGCCAATGCTGGTCAAAAGATTTAATTTGGGATAAATTGGAAGGTTTAGTACTTGATTTTTTACATTGCAACCAGTGAAAAATACCCCAAAGCATTGGCCTGGTGAAACATGGCCAATTTTGTCAGCATTGCCGTTCTGATCTTCCTGATTTTCTAACAAAGGTGCATCAGTGGGTCATCTTAGTAATGTCCAATTACAGTAAGACCCTTTGAAAGGAAGTGCAATTGCAAGACATATCATTTATTTCCCCAATTGCAGAACACTTTCCTCCCTGTTGTGACTCTGACACTTCATTTTTTTCAGATTAGAGTAGAGACGTGCTTTCACTGACTCCACTGTTCTTTCGATTCTGGATTGAAGTGAAACACCCACAGTTTATCAGCAATAGCGAAAAGTGACTATAAGTTCTCAGAATCTGCTTCAACTAGCGCCAGATGTCAGTACACATCTCTCGTCGTGCTCTGCAGCAAAAAGCCGAGAGGCCCAATGAGCAGAGACCTTTATCATGTCATACCCTTTGGTAAGAATGTCGCCAGCTTGCTCCTGGGAGATGTTCATTCTTACCGCTATCTGATGAGGTCACAGTCTTGGATCCAGCATCCCCACCCCTAGAGCAGGGTCAGTGTTTTCGGATTTTGACACATTCTACGGCATTTTTGATATTTGTTCATCTTGGACGCTGTTCCTGCCTTGCTTGAAATGAGCAGCTCAAACCTTAGCAGTGCCATATGATGGGATACAGCCAATAAGTTTATTTTCATATCCTTTTTAATTTCGGATGAAGGCATGCCTTTCAAATCGCAATACTTTATAAAAGCGCGGTTCTCGATTTTCTCCCTCTCACCGAACGCGGAATCTTCTTCACTTAAACGGGCTCTAAAAACGAAACAAAAGGACTATACTCTGTTCCGTTTCAAGTTTGCAGCCGAAGTCACGGACGTATAAATAAACTGGACTGACGATCCCAATGGACCTCCTATGGAAGATAGTGAAGCCGACAAGGCGCCATTTTACGTTGCCAAAAACCCGTGCTCTGAAAGGTCATCGAACCATTACAATTGGAATTGCGTCTAAACGGATGATCGGATCGAGATGCTGGTGGTACCGTTCGATGGGCAATGCTTTGAGGCAGGTGATGATGCATGTCACAGGTCATTCGGTGTCACGTGGCGCGTGCCACGTGTCGACAAAGTCGGGAAGGGCAAAAACATTTAAGCGACGCTCCAAATTAAACGGTGCGCGGCACAGGTGCGAAATTCACAGGTCACATGTCCCGGTGTTTGACCATTAACATATGGTATGCTCGGCAGCAGGGGGTGCGGAATGCACGCGTCAGGGGCGAAAAACATGTTTTGACAGGGTTGGCAGGGGGTGGCAAAAACTGGTTTTTGCCAGTGGTTTTAACCGGTTTAAACCGGCTGGCAGAAACCCTTGGTGGCAAAAACTGGCAAAAACTGGCTAAAACTCAGGTGGCTAAAGCTACATCTTTTCTAGCAAGGAATGGCTTTGAAATGTACTTATGCATTTCTGGATATTATAGAGGCGCACTAAACATTCTGAACTTTGCCTCATTACTTATCCCTGCTTAAAATGTATATGCATTTCGGTAGACATCCACCACCCTAATGCATTTCCATGTATAGGGGAGAGTGGGGCAAAGCGGCCACGGTAAGTAAGGTGCCGTGCGGTGCCGTGTGCATGTCAGCGGCAGATACCCCTTCGCACCTCTTATTGTGCAGGACTCACCCTTGCACTGGCTCATTTGTGATCCCAAAAGGTGGCTTACTGGTTCCTTATGGAAAGCCCATGAAAATGTTTTTGAGTTATGAACCACTTCAATGGTCAACGTCACTACTGTTTGAAAGCATAAAGCTTTCACTGAATTCTCCTTAAAATGTTTCTTGTTCAAATCCATGTTTAGGCATTGCATCGTGATGGTTTTTAGTTTTTGCTAGTTTTTGCCACTTTTTGCCGGTTAAAACCGGTTGAACCGGCAAATGGCATAAACTAGTTTTTGCCGGCAAAAATGCCAACCCTGTGTTTTGAGGATGCATCCTCCGATTCCGGAAAACCTTGACCTAGGCACACCAAATTTGGCACACTGACACTACTGGACAAGCGCTTTAAGGTGTTGTGCAAATAGATGTGCTGGGGTACACGGTGCACGTGCTGTGCACGTACAAACCTTTTGATGTGACACTCTGTGTCACATATACGGGCAGAGCGGGTAGCGCTAGCAAGCTCAAAGTGCTAAATTTACACAGGCCACCCGGAATGCATTCCCGCATAGTTATTGAGCATATCCATCTCCTGGTGGACCCCAAAGGTGCGCTCTGCACGTGCAAAAAATTATCCGCGCCGGGCGGTGGGGATGCTTGGACAGGGACACCCCTTGTAGGTTTATGTAAATATCTCGAAAACGGCGTTGTGGAGCGCCGCCGTTTTT